CGCAGAGACTGGGGGGCGCTGTTGTGGCGAAAATTGGGAGGGGGGGGGGGGGGGGGGGCCCCCCCCCCCCCCCCCCCCCCCGCTCCTCTATTTACGCCCTGGCCATCGAGCAGAATTAGCATTGGGACGAGTGAGCTTCTGTTTCAGAGCTACAACTTCATTGATTATTAGTAACAGGGTGAATGAATACTCGTGAAGCTATTGACCACAGAAAGCATATCTTTTTTGACATTATTAGTGTTGTTCTCTCAATGGCATCAAAATGGATCAGTTTCAAATCAATAAAAAATAATACTTACATATATATATATGCGTATTTTACTCTGTTACTTATGGAATGATATACAAATGTGTATATAATAATATAAGAATAAAAAAACAACTTTTTTTTGTCCGTACAAAGAATTCTTCATAAAATATATTACCTATGAATTTGAATATATTAAAATCGAAAAAAAAAGAGAATTCTTTCAAATATATTAATAATGGACTCTTTTACTTTTAGAAAGAATACGCCGTGGTTGGGGCAGCGGATAACAACGTCAATCTATTAGTAATGATAGCTGAAATGTCAATACAATGTATTTGATTGGTTTTTTTTCTGCATCTGTATAACACCATTTTTGCGCTTATTTTTCTTTATCAATAAAATAAACGTCTTGACCTTAAAGAAAATAAACATTTATCTTTTGTTACTTATCATTTTATTCAATCAGTTTTCCTATAACTGATGTTAAAAACGTAAATTGTTTTTAAAAAAATATTTCATTCTATGATGTTAGACACCCCTAATTTAAATGGATTGATACATAACACAAATATCGATAGAACATAATGTAAAAGTTGATTTTTTTTTCCGTACAAACATCTATATATAAATGACATTGTGTATGTAAACTAGAAAATATCTTAGAAGTCATTCTTATACAGGAATAAAAAAAGAAAATTATGCCTATGGTATGTGTACCAACAAGAAGGTTGTATTCATTCTTTAAATCACAATGTGATGATCGTATAAATATACTTCAATCGTTGTTTAATAACATATAGGATATAATGTAAATGCTTTTTTGAATATGGGTAGAATAATCGTTTCTTTTATTTAACTTTCATTGATTTGTGGTTGATATGTTGTTCTTCTCGATTCTTTCGTTTGTCACTTAACAGTAGGAATAAACGATACGTTTTTTTTTTACTTATGAGTCGCAACTATTCAGATTCGGACAATGAATATATTAATCATCGTCGACGATCAGATAGTGTACGTGCATCAGGTTGGCAATCACCATTACCAACATCGTCAACAAATATAATACCATTATCATCATCATCATCATCTTCATCTGTAACACGTATTGTTGTTGAATCACCATTTGGTTCAAAAAAATATGATTATACTATTGATAAATCTCAACATGGTCGTTTAATAATAACTGCACGTCGTCGAAAAACTTCATCATCTGATTATCGTTCATCAAATAATAAAAATCATGCTGCTATACAAACATTTACAATTCCATATGATGCTGATGTTGATCATTTACAATCTCATATTGAACGTGATACAAATCGTTTAATTATTGAAATTCCTCGTCAAAAACGTACAAATACACGTACACCACGTTCATCAAATAAAAATACAAGTCATGTTAGTAGTAGTCATTTAATGCGTTCACCAGATATTGAACGTATGTTAACATCACCAACAGGTGGTCCACAATTAGTACGTGATGATAGAAAATCAAATAGAAAAAATTCTGATAATAATCGAAAACTTGAATATCGTATTGATTGTCGTGGTTATACAGCTGATGAACTTGAAGTATATATTCAAGGACGTGATTTAATTGTACAAGGTAAAACTCATATATCAACATCACCAGATCCAACACAACAACGTGTATCAAAAAAATTTTCACGTAAAATAACATTACCACATACAGTTGATTTAACAAAAGTTGTTTCTTATTTGGAACAAGGAGAATTACGTATTGAAGCACCACTTAAACGTGGAGTTTATTATAATGATGAAGAAATTGTTATACCCGGACCACCACCATCATCAATAACATCAACTCATCCAATTTCAACATTAGTATCAAATGTAGAAAATCGTATTCGATCACCATCACCATATAATCGTCATCATTATCGACAAAAGGATCGTACGAGTCGTCGTCGAGACTATGAACGTTCAAATAACCGACAATTATCAAGTCCAACACGACGTGTACGTTCTGTTGAAACACTTCGTTATCCTCTTTATAGATCACCACGTGAACTGGATGAAGATGATGAAGATCAAGATAATACAAAACAACAAGAAAGTCGACGTCGACGAACTCTTGATTATGAACGTCATAGTAATGATCGAAAAGAAATAGAACAAAAAAAACAACAACAGCCTATATATAGAAAAGTTTATTCACCAACAACTAATCTTGTAACTAAGACAACAACTACAACAAGAGGTCATCATCATAATTATCCATCTGATTATGATGATGATAACTATCTAAGATTTTGATTGTTAATATAGTGGCGAGGGAATTATCTGAACTTATATTCGCTGTTTGAACTAATTACTCAGCCTACGAGAAGATCTCCGTAAGACTAGTAAAATCCTAAAAAAGTTCGTGCCCATGAGTCTCCGAAGCTGAGTTATGATTGTTCTAATAAATTTTTCATTCATAAGTACCTATGATGGCTGTGAAAATATTCTGAAAGTTTTGGTCAAAAAGAATGTTCCTTTATCAAGATATTGTATTTTCAAGACATAATTATTTATCACAGATATGTCACAAAAATCGAGCTTACTTGAAAATTCAATTTCTCAACCAAGAAACATTCTTTTTGGTTGAAACTTTGAGGATATTTTCAGAATCATCCGATCGAAAATTTAGTAAAATGGTCTTAATCCGACTTGAGAGGTTCATGAGCACGAACCATTTCAGAATTTTTTTCTAGTCTTACCAAAACTTCCTTGTGAATTCAATATGAGATCAAACGGCAGATATGACTTCGAGTAGGTCTCTCATTAGAAGTGTTTGTTTTTTTACATAGAATCTTTGTAATGTGAATTTTGAAAACAAAACAAATATAATTTTAGTAAATAATCTTTTTAAACGATACAATTTAAAACGGAGAAAACATTATTTTAAATTAAAATAAAAATTCATCATATCATTTTCGAATTAACTTTTGTATTTTACAAAAAATTTTGTTTAACATCATGTCTTCTATAACTAAATTACCTTTCATATTAATCAATGAGAATTTGATGAGTATGATTAATATGTAAATGCAAATTATTGAAAATAATTTACGCATAAAGAAAAAAAAAGGTATTAGAACTATATTTAAACATTATTTTATCGATTATATTTAATATCTCAACGAAATACTAACATATGTGTTTAGAACATGAAGAATGTTATCATCAGATTGTTTTGCTCTTTTTGAGAACATGATTTTACGATTTAGTCTACTTTACATACCATCGTGAGTAGTTTTTAAAATATGTGTGCAAAAATATTCAATAAAATGAATCATTTAATTCACAAAAAAACAAATAATTTATTTGATAAATGAGAAAGCAAAACTATGTGTTTGTATAAAAAAAGCAAACTACATAAACTTGAAAATATCAAAGATATTAACATTTAATACTCTCACTCATCATCTTCCATTATGTGCAACAAAATTAGATAAATAAAATGATAAGATAAATTTATATGTTATTATAGTTCGTTGTTTTTTTTTCTTGGTCTTTAGTTTAACGAATGTTTATCATTAAACTGTAATCAAAGAGAGCTCATATCGAGTTTTGAAAGCAAAATCTATCACTATAACAATAGAAATAAAATAGATTCAATTACTTTTATCTACGATCGAATATGAACAATGTTAGAGAAACACAGAGGAAGAGAAGTAGAATGACAGTGTTTACTCTAACACTAATATCATACATTTGAATCAAAGCAGCAGAGCACTATCGTATTTTGTTATTGCTCAACAACAGAATGTAATTTTATGAATGTCAATAAAAAGGTTTCAATGCATTTAGACTTACCTTCAACAATCTTGATTCTTAGTTAAATTATTACTTATTTGAAATTAGGAAACTGCAAAATCACTTTTTTTAGTCCCGGTCCCGGTCTTTGACAATGGTTTCATTTCTAAAATCGAGCAACTTTTTTTTTCGATTTGTGTACTTTTATAAATACATAAAATTGACATGAATGGTTTTTGATTCGTTAACAGTACGAAAATTCTTTTATATCCANCAAATGAACACATATATTTAATAGTTTATTTTATTATCTGGATGGGTGTAGGTGCGGGTATACGTCTGATACCCATCGGCCGACCCATCGAAATTCACATCCACACACATCTAGTTTTCTTCTAAATTTCTATGAAATGAGATGTAATCGTGTTTGTATCGCGTTTTTATATCGTGTATAAGCCTTCCAAAATTCTTGTTTGTATGATTTTGATGGAAGAACAAAGACAACGAAAGTAAGCAAAGATGGTATGAATGAAATAAAATATCCAATCAAAAATAACCATGGATCATTAATTGACTTCATACAATGTCAAAATAAAAGAAATAATCAAAGGTGGAATAGCTAAAATGACCAGAACAATTGGAGTAATCAGTAGATGACTGTGTTGTTCAAATTGTTGATATAATGTTTCGATAGCTTTCATGAATTCGAACAGTTGTTCGCTGTCGAGCAGTCATTACGATAATGATCGGACCCGAAATCAAATTAATAATAAATGGAGTCAAGAAATGAAATATATTTACCACTGTATTAAATGTTTGAAGACTAGATGAATAAGTAACAATACACCAAATTCTTTTCTCGCTATCATCGTCATCATCATCATCATTTGTCAAATGTCGATGAATAGGAACATGAATAATTGTACCAATATTCAAAATTAGAAGAATAAGAATGATATATTTAACCATTTCTTTACTCTTCTTCTTATTAAAACTGGTTCCTTTTATTGGGGCAACTGCTCGTTCTATGACTATACATGCAGACAACGATTGATCCATGTTAAGACCAATTCGTAGCAAAAAATCTATTGAAGTACATTGTAATTGTAGGAATAAACGATTCGTAATATATGTTTTTTGTGCAATGATAAGTATCGGAAATTTCAATAAAAATATAATCATTGTAAATAGAGTAGTAATTGATGTATTTATTAGATAAATACCACAACCAGTTTTACGTGGTTCACTATTATTAATTGCAATCATCAATAAAGCACTATTGATCAATCCTGCTACAATCATAATGATTGTCAATGCTATACTTAATTGTACAACAAGAGATTGATGTTTGATGGCAATATATGGTTGAATGTGATAACCTAAAATTGCATCAAGTGAAAGACCAAATACATTTGAACTAAATTGACAGCGTCTTCCATAAAAACATAACGGACAAACGCATATCGATGTTTGTGGACATGTAGATCTATCTTGTAAACATTATGCTCCATTTTCACCATTACTTTGACCAAAACAATCAAATTTCTTTGTATAATTAAATTCAAAACAGTTGACTACACTTTGTTGTCCAAAATTATTACATAAACAAAAATGATTATCATCATAAAAACAAAACAATTGTGATGAATGTCTTTGACACGGTAAATGATAATATTTAATACGACGCAGAAGATGAAATTTAACAATTGTCTCATTCAATACTTCATTTATATGTGGACAACGATTTGATGGTTGAATTTCTCGAGTAATGGTTGTCGATTGATGATATTTCTTTTGAACAGTAATTAAATAGTAGTGTTTATTGAAAAATTGAACAAAGGCAATGTGAAATGGATATGACCAATTAATTATCAGTGTGTTTTGATTGATAGGAATCCTTTTGAAAGTACTGTCATTTGTAGGTGGAGTACCGGCAATCACTTGAGTAAAATGAGCAAGTAACGAGTCTGGTAAAATGATATCTCGATGAAATGATACAAGAATTTTATTATCCGTTATTTCACATCGGTCTCCAGTGAAACCTTTTTGGCAAATACATTTAAATTTTTTGATTCGATACTACATGTTCATCAGTAGATATACATTGACCACCATTATAACATATAATATTTTGATTAGATTGACATATTGTATTTTGGAATAGACATTGANTTTAGACACCCTGCAATGATAGTTCATCTTTGAAATTTTAGTATAGAATGTATTGGATAGACAACTTCATTAGCTATTAAAATCACTATCTGAATTTGAGCTAGATATTTAACATTTTACAGCAAAACAATGGAATTAGTTATGCTATGTTTAAAAAATATATATGCGTGTTTCAAGGCTTAACAAAAATATATCTAGCTTAATCCGTTGATTCATAATGGTAGCGTAAATATAAAAATGTTCATCGAAGCAAAAAAAAAAGATAAACATCATTTTCATTTGTGATTAATTATCAATCGAAGAAGAATACAGATATATGTCATTTTCAAATTTAAACTTGTTATTCAAAACTAATATTGATGCTTTTTCGAAAATATTAGTGCTATAATCAATTGAATTTCCTTCTAGTATCCAAAAAATCATTAAGAATGAGTATACGTTCATTCTGCATTCGAGTACTCTGTGCTATTGATTTTCTCGTTCTCTATATATTTGTACTTTCTTTATGACTTCAATGTCAATCTATCAAGAAATCATAATTGCTATTGTAAACTAAAAATATAGTTCACTGATAATTTGTATGTTTAATCATCATACTTTGTTGTTTTGATTGTTTGTGTACAAGTTTATATTCTAAATATGACTATATTTATGCTTGTTGGTTATTTTCATGTTTCTATTTAGTATAAACTTGCTTTCTAGATTATTACTATTTCATATTGTTACAATCCAGATTTAACTCTTAGCAGATTTATATGTTTATTTATACTTTTTTTTTCTTATGGATTATAGCACTTTTATTGATGATTATTTTGTACAGGAAGATTACATTAATTTTATTTTTCGCCAACAATTACATTTGAATAATGCCTATAAACCAAACACATTTATACCAACGTGTTAATCAGCTATTAGAAATGTGTTTTTTTAATCTATGGGGCATTGAATGTTATATGTATAATTCCATTTACTGTAACATATGTTATACTTATCTTTCAGCAATCAACATATGTATGAATGCACACTGCGCTCTTTCATTTATCTAGTCTATTATTGAATGTAAAATTTTTCAACAAGTTTTTATGCTGATATACACATAGTAGATACTTTTATTGATATGAATTATATAATTTAATCAAAATCAATCGATGTTAAATATACCAGATAAATAATATTCATTGTATTCGAAGACTTGTTCATAGATCTTATGTTACATGACTTAACAAATTGATTTTGTCTGTATATATTCATATAAATAGTTAGATATAATGAAAATCAATATTCTTAATAAGAATAAATTTTTTATTTCATGAGAAATGATTTTTATTATTAAAAATGAACTGTAATCATTTGTCAGGAAATAGCAAAGTCTATTTATAATCGAGTTATTTTTAGACATCCTCTTTCATTGTCTTATAAGAAAAACACCAAACTAATTTCCTCTCAATGTAATGATGCATGTATTTCGTAACAGCAATATTTTCAAAATATATTCAAGAAGATTTCTTATGTTTCAATTGTATACAAATTAAAAAATATCGAAAACAATCAGTTTATGTCGTTTCACTCAACAAAGAACAGTATACATTCAAATAACTATTTAAATAAGAAATCTGAAGTACAAATAAAAATGAATTCATTAATATTCGCAAATAATCATCTATTATTAAATCTTCTTGAAATATAATTATTCGTCAAAGAAAAACATCAGTTTATTGTGACCTACATAAAGGATTACGAACATATGTCTTTATGCGATGTGGAATTTATTAGTATATACTCTATAATACATTCTGCTTGTAATAATACATGTAAAAGTGAAATTCGTGATGAAATTATTATTCTTTTCTCAGCATGAATATATTTAACATAATACAATGGCGTTTACATTTTTTTTTAACTCCAAATAATCTCAAACAAGGATATGCAAACGTGCTTATTGCTTTGTGACGCTTATTATTTTCTATAGCATTGAGTACAGTTTGAATATAAACGAACATTGAAATGATAAAGAGCTTAGTTCTTAGAAAATACAACAATGTACTTCATGACACATCTTTATTTCAAGTCATATGTATAAATACTTTTGTGCGGAAAATTATTTTATTAATATATTAAAATGTGTCCTTGTCTTTCTCCTTGAAATTAATTATGTTGTTATTCACTTCAATTCTGTTGTTTCAATTAACTTCATGTCCTTGATATATATATTCAAGGATGCTTGATTTATGAATTTCTTCTATAGTTTATTGTATTTGTTTTTAAATAGTTTATAGATTAAAATGCATTGAACTAACGATATGATGAAAGAATGATAATTTCTATCATTGAAAAAGACATTAATATCTATCAACAAAAGAGTTAATTATTTCTTTTCAATCAAGTAAACATGACGTAAATGCGATTTAGATTTTTTACTCTATATTTTTATGCTTAACATACACAAAATACTAGTAAACCTTGAATTGTTTGTCAAAAAAATGTACACAAGTACAATTTTTTTTTCTATATTTTTATTTTATATTATCATATGTAACAATCATAGACTTCATATTTTCGATGATAAAATTTTTGATAATGAAACAAAAAAATGATTTTATGAAGTTTCTGGTATCTTTTTAAGAGTTGTTATTTATTCATCTTAATATTATCGAAGAAAAGTTGTAAAATCATCTGATAGATTTGAATGGATGAATTTGAAAATGTTGATGTTTTCCTGTTGTTTCTTCCACAAGGTGAATTCATTAAATTCTAAATAATGGTACGATATCATATTTCTAGTGAATGAATAATCATTCGACGGACAAAATAATTCAAGGAGATGTATATACAAAAATAAATATCTTGCTATGGATAAATTACTTCATCGTATAACTTTAAGATCTTTTTTTTAATCTCTTTGATGACCGATTTTTTTTTCAATCAAAAAAATATTTCTTCGAACAATTCTTTTCTGTTTGGCTGAAGATTATTACATAAAAGCTTTAAGATAATCGAAAAAAAAATATTTATCACCTTTTAAACAAAGTTCTAATTTGCAACTATCATATTTTATGTTTAGTCTAAATTGTACTTCTTTTGTACTATAGTAAGCGCATATTCTTCGTGTTTCTTTGACAGACAAATTCATTTCATGATAAAAACGAAGAATAGATTGTGACAATGTTAGTTTAAGACTTCTTATCATAGGATCATCCACCATTTATTTATTCAATCTCATCATAGAGAGAGTTACCCACTGAAACCATGTAGCGCAAGTATGGTAATTTACTCTAACTAATTGATTGTAGCAAACATATGGATTAGAAATAGATGTCATTAACGAAGTAAATAAATAGCCGAAGTCATTTTCTCTTAGATTTGCAATCAAAATTCTAGCAGGATATTTAATTTGACTGAACAATCAACTCTACGTGGAAACTGATTGTAGTCTTGTTTTTGCAGTTGGACAATTAATGATAATAAATGGATTATTCCTCAATTGCCAGAAGACCGTAACAATTTCATTATCTTTTCAGTTATCTGAGGGTGTGAATGTTGTCATGGATGAAGAGAAGATCCATTCCAAACCCTCATCGTACAGCATCAAAAATAAACGAGAATATCTTAGAAAAATCCATAGAAAAGGACGAACCAAGAAAAATATTCATGAGATGACACATGAGAGAACGTACGACCTGTAGAGTCTCGCAAATCTAACAGCTTGATGTGAAAGAAAAACTTTTTTCTCTACTAAAAAAACAGATGGTATATACATACGTATCATCACGCTGAAAAAGGTTTAACAAAAAAAAAAACAATAAAATATATTAATAAAATTTTTATATATAGATACTAATTAATAAATACTTGCAAGTATCTCATTTTTATCAGTATCGTCAAGGTACGGGCATGCAAAAATCCGAGTGGAATGTTTTTTTTTTCGTTCGATTAAATGTGGTTTAGTAAAATTTGACTAGCTAGTCACGAATATTTAGTTTACATGTCAACCTGATCCCTGGTGAACTGAGACAAACTTTGAAAAATTCGAATGATTAACAAAGAAATATAAGTAACTATGGTTGCACTTTTTTTCTACAGAAATCATCTGATTCAACATAGAAAATTGAGAATGAAAATCATTTTCGATTAGATTTAGAGTTCTTCGAGTTAAGAATATTTTGTCTGGTATAGATAAATCCAACGTACTTCATAACTTTTAGTACTTAATGAGCTTCTTGTCATTTTTGTAATAGAAAGATAAAATCAAGTGTTGTATGTTATTAGAATCGCTGGGTTGCGAGCTCTTAACGTATTCATCGAGTCTTTAGATTTATTTTCTTGCTGAGACAATTGACATTTTTCTGGTTATGACACAGCAAAAATTAAAAAAAACAAACTTATTAACAAATCACGAGTACTGAGCGATTTCAATTATTATAGCTTAACGTTATAGGAAGATCAATGCCCTTTCTGAATTTATGGAAAATGCACTGCATTTGATCAAATATTTTTTTTAAATGTCAAATATATTTCTGAAGATCGCAAACAATAAATCAGAGAAAAATAAAACATTACCGAAGAGAATCACATCGTTTTTCTGAGAAAAAACTATTTCTTATTAAAAAATATTTGATTAAACGTAGTGCTTTTTTCTTAATTCCAAAAATGGCATCTATGTCGTCCTAACATTGAGTTATAATAATGGAGATTGCTCAGTAAAATCAGTTTGTTGATAAGGTTTTTTTAATAATTCTTGCTATGTCATAATCAGGAAAATGTCAATTGTCTCAACAAGAAAAAACAAAATCTAAGAACTATGTGAATACGTTAAGAGCTTACAATCGAACGATTCTAATTATAGAAGATAGTTGATCTTATCTCATATTATAAAAATAGAGATAGGCTTACAAACGTACTTAGTGTCACAAATGTTATGAAGTATGTTAAGATTATCTATAACAGAGAAAACTTTCTTAACTCGATGAACTTTAAATCTACTTGAATAACATTTCTATTCTCAATTTTCTATGTTGAATCAGAAGAAAATATTTTCAAAAACGTTCTATAAAATCATACTTAATCGAACGAAAAAAATAAATTTTTGACTTTTCGGCACTTGACATGGACATCTGTAATAATATGTTTCCGAATTGCTATGTTATAATCTATGAATCCATTTACTATATTTATTAGAGAATCTATCAGATTTTATTCTTTTTGACCTAGCTGTATATTTATTTCTAAGACAAGTATATAATTAAATATTGCAATGAAATACGCATGGTACATTTTGTTATACTTTCGTACTTTGAAAGATGTTTGTTTAGAATCATGAAAGAAATGTTTTTGTCGAATCATATTTCAATACGGTTTTTACGTATGAATTTATCGTGTTTTATTATTGTAGCTAAGAAGATGTTTGTAATATTAAATTTCTTTTTCCAGAATAAGTATTCGATGCATAAATAATTATAAAAGTAATTTGTTTCTTGTTTTAACCATAGAAGAAAATTTTAGTCATGTGTCTAATATTATCTCAATATGACACTTTTTTGGATTGGTGAATATTTGATTTGTATTTCACAATTATATAGATAATAATACTATGTTCTGATCAAAGAACCAAACAAAGAATGTTCAAATATTTTTCTATTTAGATCATTTGTAATTTCATTCAAGTAAACCAAAATACATTACCTCTGCTATTTTTCGATTTTTTTTTATTTGTCTAAAAGAGTTTAATATATTATAAGACTACAACAAAATAAAACTAAAAATTTTGTTTATGTAATGTGTCATAGTTTTGATTAATGATTGTTTTATCGAGCGAAGAATCATGACTCCTCTAAAGATCGGATTGGTCCTCACTGAATTCGTGATCATTGTAATTAGATGTTTGTACTCAAAAAATAGATATTTGCCCTTCTAAAAATTTAAATCACTTTTCCCGAAGAGAAAATCTAAATAAGACAGTGTAACAAATGCACTTTTCTTTTTAATTATTATATAAATACTTTTAAAAAGAGTCTTTCCATTTTAAATTTTCTACTCGTATATAAATGCAAAAATTTGTCATGACATTCGATGTTGAATAATAGTGCACAGAGCATGAAAACACTTATATTTGCATTAGGCTTTAATTGTAAATAAAAAAATATCACGCAACTATGACAAATGGTTTCATACAGTTCGCTTGTTTGAAAAAGAAAAACATTTGAAATGGTAGGAGTGAATATTTTCAAAAAAAAAACTTCCAAGTCTGAACGAGTACAATATATTCAGATCATTTTTTTTTTTTTGTTGATTCCTATATATTTTTTTTCAAAAATCAACAATAATTTTCGATGTCTTTATTTGTAATTTAATTTCGGATGAAAAATTTGTTTTCAATATGATTAACATTTTATTAGAATTTGTCGACTAGTAATTTTCTTTTATTTATAAGTAGATGAATATTAGTCATAGATGAATCCAATGTAACTAATAATAAGTTTCTAAATATAGATCAACTAATGTAACAAATAACAATGATACATTTCCTGCAGTCACTGTCAAAAATGAACTAGATAACTTCGAATTGTTACAATGTAAGTAGACATACATTTGAATATTAATTACTGTTTATTGTAAATTCATTATTTTCTATTAAATCTTCGAAGAATATAAAGATAATTTAAGGCTTTTATCTAGTATATATTTAAATAACTATCAAATTTATATTTTCTAATTTTCTTTGTGATCTATAATAATTTTTTGTTTTGCTTTTTTTTTTTTTTTTTATAGAGAATTAGAAAGTTTTTTCTTCTTATTATTATTATCAACTTTTATTAAGTTCAGCTACAAGGTCATATGTAAAGTGAAAAGAAAAGAAAAGAAAAAGTAACTACGATTTACTAGTTTGCGAGACAACATATCAAAAGAAGTGCAGATTTGTGAAGAAACAGAAAGAAAGAAAAAGAAAGAGAAAAATCTGTTATCGACCATGTACCCTTTTCAGTGCATTGCGAGTGCATTTACT